CTTAATATATGGGTACAGTTGATGTCAATCTGCTACGATATTCTGTTCAAATCGACAGATAAACTGCTAGCGTATTGCTAACTTTTTCCTATTAGACAAAAATAATATGTAAAATAGTAATAATTATGAATTCCAAAGGTACAATTAAAAACTGTTTGCATAAATTACAATTTAAAATTAAAAACAAAGAAAATGATATAACATTGTTGCTGATAAGAGATACCATTTGTTTTATTGTACTTAAAGAGAAGATATAAAATTCTTTTCTTCGTCAGTGGAAATTAACAAGAGTGATTATTTGACCAAACTGACGTTTAATATCGTAGAGTTACATTAATTCATTCGACGTTTCGACACTAGTTTTGTGTCCTTATCAAGAGTTTACTAAAACAACGAAGTCATGTTACATAAAAAATATATCGCACGAGGAACAAAGAACGTAGAAAGGGAAATAAATACCTGTCCCATATTAAAGATTAGCCGCACATATTTTTTACAGTTTTAACACTTTGTCAAATTTCAATGTGAAGGATCCGCGATTTATCCTTAATTAATCGTGCGATGTAGCACAGAAACAATACATAACCAGAACAGAGACGTGCGAGAAACGTCGTTCCGAGTCGGAGGACGGAGTCTAACTAATTTGTAAATACCGAATACGCGATTGGGTCACCGGAAGAAAAACATACACTCGAAAAGAAAACTGTTATGCGGATCTTATAATATGAGGTTTTGCATAGAGAGAGAAATGTAAGGAAGAGGGAGATAGCGGAGATCTTTTACATTAAAAAACACGACAATACGATCAATCTAAAAAAAAAACACGGAAAATCTTAACCCGTTATATGACCGAATTATAAGATCCACATAATAGTTTTCTTTTCGAGTGTATGTTTTTCTTCCGGTGACCCGGCAATCGCGTATTCGGTATTTACAAATAAGTTAGACTCCATCCTCCGACTCGGAACGACGTTTCTCGCACGTCTCTGTTCTGGTTATGTATTGTTTCTGTGCTACATCGCACGATTAATTAAGGATGGGTCGCGGATCCTTCACATTGAAATTTGACAAAGTGTTAAAACTGCAAAAGATATGTGCGGCTATAATCTTTAATGGAGAGAAAGAGAGAAAGACATGGAAGGAAATGAAAGAGGCCTATGTCCAGGAGTGGATGAAAACAGGCTAGAGAAGAAGAAGAATCTTTAATATGGGACAGGTATTTATTTCCCTTTCTACGTTCTTTGTTCCTTGTGCGATATATTTTTTATGTAATGACTTCGTTGTTTTAGTAAACTCTTGATAAGGACACAAAACTAGTGTCAAAACGTCGAATAAATTAATGTAACTCGACGATATTAAACATCAGTTTGGTCAAATAATCACTCTTGTTAAAGAGAAGACTTTGTTTGAAATCTAGCTAACGTTCCACGTGAAGGATATCATAATTACGTGACGATTAACGTGACCAAATTATTACTTCCTTACTTTTTTTACGATTCCTAAGATCTGTCTGCCGATGGAGAGTGTGCACGAAAATAAAGAGAAAACGTCACTTTTATACAAACGCCCGAACGTTAAATCACTCCTGATGATGCGGGTTCGTAAATCCCACTTGATAAAGATACGATTTATGAAATCCGCTGACATAAAACTCCATTCGTGGTTTCATGTATAAACCTTATATTCTGAGGAACATATATTTCCGCTTGCGTCGAGAAATATGAAGTAATTGACCCGGTGAGTCAGAAGAGATATATACGTTCGCAAAGTTCTCACTTATACTTAAGATATTAATCAGCATTTTGATTTGATCAAATCGTGGTTGGCACAATTTCATTTTGTATAGTTTTCTATAATATATATTCTTGTATCATATTTTCAGAGCTACATACAAAAAATTTTCCATTTACGTCATCAATAGCAATAGCAATCTCAAAAGCAATTTAAAAAAGGCAGTCCTTATATATATCTGCACGATTTGATATTTTATTTCAAAAAGCTCATGTAGCATATTGTTTATCACGGGATTGTAACACCCATAATATTAGGCAGGTAAATCATTGATATAGGATTGTTTTTGTGCGATATAAGAGATAAAAAAATTTTGCAAAGAAACGATTATATGTATATGCATCAAAGACATCACATATATTATAGAGTGACGCGTAGAATTTTTACTCTTTCAATTTGTAATTGTAACTACATTTGCGATTATTAATCGTAATTACAAAGTTTTCAGTAGGCTGAAAATATGGGTAATTTAATTTACGCCTTATAGCTACATACGATAGTAATTGTCATGATGCGATTAAATTTCTCCATTTTAATATTTCGCGCTGTTTGCGCGAGCAATTTATCGCAATATTATATACAAGACTGATAAAAAAGGAAGCTGATAAAAAAACTTTCCGCTTCCTTAAGTGAGCATTCGAGATCTTATACTCTGAAGAACAAAGAACATCGTTAATTTTACAATACTCTTTCGAAAAAGCACTGGAAATGCGTATGGTATAGGTTGCAATAATTGTGAATAAATTATATTCTATAAATATATTTTATAAATTTTGGATATAAATGCAATAATAATTGCCAATAATTGTCTTATGTATATAAATGTAATGACAATTTCCAGTTAAAGCAAAAAATACATGATAGTTTAAGGTATTCCTTTCACGGAGGAGCGTATTTTGTAGGAGCTTAAGCAGGGCCTCAGCAAACTCTTGTATATTGCATTAAACTTATATAAAATCAAGTTATAATTGATTATTATGTTTAATTACAAGAAAAAAGTGAAAATATTAGGTATGTGTATTTAGAAATTTTTCATTTTTTGGTAAATTTTACTGTCAGAACAATAATATGGCAACGCTGCGCTTTACAGGACGCCGATTGTAAAATGTGAAGTTGATAACAAAAGTGTCAATAATGTAAGTGTCAATTTCATTAATCAAAGAATATTGTGACATTTTCTTTTATTTTTATCACAAAGAGAGATTCTATAATAATAATGAGTGATGTAAGAAACATAAAGTGAGGAGTAATGTGGGCAAAAATAAAAGGCAATTTTTTGGATTATTTTTTTTTTAAACATAATAAATAGTTGATAATAAACCGTACGTGATGAACTGAAATGTGACATGAGCGCACAATTAACTTGCAGCGTTGCCAAATAATTCCTTGAAAGTCGCCATTAAAAATATTCATCTAAACCACATTTCAGGTCAACTTTTAACATAAACATTTTGTTTAAATATATGGTGACTCTGCATTTTCATCGGCACTATCGAAAGTATAGAGTTTAGCGAATATGTAGCGCAGTTAATATTTAATATCTTAAGATATTTGATAAACAATGATGATAAACAAATTATTACATTGAAATGTGGAAAATAGACTTTTTCGATAACGTCACTTATAAATATCGAATTTTCAAAGTCATAATTCTTCTTTATATGTTCGGTAATGTGGTTTAATTTTTTCTGGCGTATAGATATGCATTTTAACTTTCTCGTACCAAAAAATCAATTAATTCTTAAGACTTTGGTGTCATGAAAGGAATTAATATAAACATTTCGAACGACATAAATGGCTAGATAACAACTCATATTACGAGGCCAAATAAGTCTTATTCACATACACAATATTTTACGTATAATAATGAAAATTTTATTATAGTGTACAATTATACAAAAATTGCTGGGCAGACAAGATGATAATACGGTACGTTATTCGCTGCTGAAGAAAAGTAAAATTGGAATGCGAGGTATATCCTTCTTCGTCGATTAATTCCGTCATATCCACGTTAATGACGATTGTACAAAGTCGCTTTGGCATGAAATAAATGAATCAAACGGAGCCTCGAGCATTATCTACATGTTTCATACATAATTCTAATCGATACGACTATGTTGTTCTGCATACGTAATTAATCTTATTCATCAGGGAACGTTTTACAGTCGGGGAACATTTCAGTGTATGCATAATTTTATACAGTAAATGCATAGTTCCAATTCTCCAAGTACAATTCTAAATTTATATATTTTTATTAACACAAAGCATCTGATATAGTTTCGCTTACTTTCGCTACGATGTACTTGAATTAATCTATAACAATGGAGAATAATATTGCAAAATATCATTGATAATTGCTATCAAATTGCTCACTCGGTGTATTCTGTGTTTGCTGGGAAATTATCTAATGCAATTCTACAAATGAAATATACGTATATTAAAATATTCGCTATTTATATCTTCTCAAAGCCATTGCCTCAAATATGTAATGACATCTCGCTTCACCTGTCAGGAGATCTTGCAAATAGTATCGTAAGAGCTTTCACGTGGAATAACTCAATGCAAATTGCCTCCATTACGTGTCTTGCTCGCGATCGATTCTGCGATAAATCCGTTCGACAACACGAGTCATTATCGGATAATAAATGGAAAAGGAGATTTAAAAACTGCTTAATTAATCCTTGACGTAAATCAACGCGAAGGTTTTCTATTTTGTGATGCAATATTTAGAAAAGGACAAATTGTGTACTATTTAGAGAAAAAAAATAATTCAAAAAGTATGAATTCGTTCCTATTTTTTAAAAATTATGTGTTTATTTGAGAGAAAGTTTTTCATAAATGGGGTATTAAACTTTCGTCCCAAAGCTGTTGAGTTTCATATTCATCCAGTAATGTTCTAAAATAAAAGTTAAACGGAGTTAATAATTGTAATTTACTCAGAAATGTTACATTTATAATACTAAGATCACATATCGTAGTAAGTTATATTTAGTTTAGTAAGTTATATTTATAAATACTAATGAGATATATTATTTTGAATTTGCTATTCTATGATGCCATTTTATGATTTAACAAATTCTTAACATTTTAAATGTCTAAAAATCTGTACCAACACTAAATAATTACGTTAATGTCTAAATTATATCTAGTGAACATGTTTCCTTACACATGGAGGAGATCCAAGGAGATAAAAAATTATATTTGTACTATTCATTGTTGAAAACATAATAATTTATATAGATATCGCTTTCGTATAATATCCCTGTCATATATTAGATTAATTTACTAACTAAAACCTAACTAAGATGTATAATGTTATGTTTATTATAAATTGTAATATCTTATTCGCCCAACGTATAATACGATTCCCTGAAAAATAAAAATAATTTTGTTATTAAATCTTATTAATGCTACAAGAGTTTTGTTATTTAGATAAAACAAAATAAAAGAGTAGCAAATTTATTATAAAAAAGAAAGAGAAAAAAATTCAAATTTTTAAAACTGCTACAAGTCAAGAAAATCGATCCATTAATATTTATCATCATGTATTTGTTCTTTACCTATAATTATATGCTAATCTTCGTTTTTTCCTATAAATTATTGTCGCCACTACTGAAATTCCTATTAACATGGTGGTTATGATGACTGCAACTAAACAAAAATATTATTAAGATTCTGTAAAATCCATGTTTTTATTAAAAGAATAATTTATTTATTATTTACATACATTGTTAAAAGAAATACTTACTGAACATTTTATATGTAGATATTGATATATCTTTCGATTGTGTCCTAAGGCACTTTGTTATGTGAGATAAAGTGCCATTAACTATGGGGCACTTCAAATTAAGTATTTCGCAAAATAAGGGAAATAGATCTGTATTGTTAAAAGGCTCCAATTTACATTTTGGCATAAAAGCAGGTCCATTCGCAAAGAAGAATGGATGCATTTCTTTAGCTTCATTATTATAACCATGCAGCCCAAACTCTGTCTGATTGTTAACTGAATGGGAAACAACGTTAAAAGTTATATAAAAATAGTACATATATAGCAATAAGTGTGTGGCCAGTACAAAATTACCTGTAATATTAAATTTCCGTTTATAATATTCTATGGTATCATAAAGGTTCTGAAATGCATATCCAACTTCAGCTATGACAAAAATGGGTCCTACACGAGTGTTATCGCCATAATGATACTTCTTCGGAATATCTTCTCTTTTATATACTTTGAACGTTTTCGTTTGTTCCGCGGCAAACTTCAATTTCTGATAAATCATCTCTTCTTTCCCTAAGTGACGTATTTAAAAAAAAACAAAGTTTTAACAAAGACAATAATTCCACACAAATCGTATCGTGAACCAGCCTTACCAGGATGTGGAAAGATATGTAATCCCGGAGAAGTTCCCACGAATATATAATCGCTAGCATTGATGTAATTTGTTAAATTTATTATTCTTTCCATCGTGACTGATGCCATGCCATGGTCACTTAAGTGAATCACATTAAGATCATCTGTCAAACCATAATAATCAATTTTGTCGTGCATATATTTTGTAATATTATCCAATTTTCTGAGAATTTCATTAAATTCAGGACTATTTATTCCTGTAGCGTGACCATGGTAATCTGGATCCTCAATATATAATATCCCCAAGTTTATCGGGTTTGTGGGATGTACAAACCACGACAATAATTCATCAACTCGTTTCTCCCAGGAAATCGTGTCATTAAAAGCCTAAAATATTTTATTATTATAATCGATAGATATCTCTAAGATCTAAGTATATCTACCCAGTGAACACAAAGTCCCAAATTGGGATCATAAAGACGTCTTAAAGACGTCATATGTCCTGATTTGAAATATGTGTGTTGGCTAGGTATATTATTCCGTATGTTAATTCAACACACTTGGGCGAAAGTAGGTGACGTTCCTTGATATTCGAACACAGAACCCGGCCACATCATCGTGCCACTACGTCTGCCACTTTTTTCATTAACCGTCTGAAATCGTTAAACCGAAAAATGTGTTAATAAAATGTAAAACATGCTTAAGTATATAAGTAATATAATTATCATCTTGCTACATACCCAAATAGGCAGAATATTGTTGTTGTAATGATACAGTTCGTAAGAATACTTAGTAATATTATCTTTCCCAGAATCAAAAAATTCATTATCTATAACCCCATGTGTTTCCGCGTAAAATCCCGTCGCCATCGTATGATGATTGGGGAAGGTCTTGGTGACGAAAATATTCATCATATAGTCCGTGTAAGTGCCTTCCACCTTTAAGTGGCTCATGAAAGGTGTCAAATTTCTCTCGAAATAGTCATATCTATACAGAAGAAAGAGAAATGAAATAAAATCCTATATATTTTCATTTCATATGTATTCTTCCACATTTCAATAAGTAAATAGCAATGCAGAATAAATCAATACTGATGCTTTCAGTCATTCTGTAAGATCCGAATAAGATCCTATATGAAAAGAATGGTTGCTGAAGTATCTAAAAATTTAGCTAGATATAGATTTAAAAATAATCATGTTGTACCGTCTAAATATTTATATATGACGTTTGGTTACTAGAATGTCAAAACTTTTTGCACCATTATCATCCCAATATTGAAAGCGTCCACTACAAATTTTACATATATAGAATGTCAACAGAAATATAACAGAATAGAGTCCAAAAACTCGGTTTCGGTTTTGGTTTCGGCTGAAATTGAAAGAAAGTTTCAGCGATGTAGCCAAGACTGTTTATTTTCCAGAATTTTCAGACATGTTTAAAAAATATTTTTGCTTTATGTTTAGAAATTTTGTTATTATTTCAATATGACTGTGATACTACGGATAATATATAACATACTACAGGTTGTGATAATAGAATTGTAATAGTAGGATTGTTATAACATGTGTAATTATTTTAATAATTAAATTATGATATTTATACAAAGAAAAAGTGTATATTATATCTGTGTGCGTGTATACTACTGTATACATATGGCCCTTCTAGAATTCCCATGAAAGTTTAGGCCGAAATTAAAAAAGATTGTTTCGGTCAGACTCTATAACAGAATATAATGGGCGTGTTCAGCAGACACATAGCAGATTGACTCCAGAAATTGATCAGAATCTACCATTTTGTAACCATATAAACAAAATGTATTTCATTTAAATATTTATAAATTGACAAATTCTGTTCACATTTCTGCTGACAATCTACTGTCAGATTATGGTTATGTTCCGATATTTAAGCCCCTTGCACAATGCTAGGCGATAGCGATAAAATTTTTAATCTATCGGAAACCGTGTATCAATGCCGTATATTTTTTCTTTTTATTTTTTATTCAGCGTATTTATTTACCGTATATTTAACTGTTACTTTCTGTCTTTATCCAGATTATATATGTATGACTTTTGTTTCTAGCAGTTGGATTCAGGCAAGATTCCCAGCCAAAAGTTTTGAACCTCTATTAAGAATATTTACAAATACGCTGCCAGTAATGATAAAAAATGGTTAAAATCACTTAAATCAGTAATATTAATGTCCTTGTTTATGATATGCAATAATAGTCAACCGTTAAAGTATGCATACAACCGATATATATTAGATTTCTCAGATTACTATGCTTTTTGCTGGGAAGGTATACGTGATACATCCTTAATACAGACTGATTTGTTGCAATATCTGAGCAAATCTGTTGTCATACTATTATGGACAATTTACTTATTCGTTTACTGGGATCATGCTTGAGCGTGCTATATAATTAATTTAATGGTCCATAATTATTTCCAGATTTATATCTGCAGCCATTAATTTGTACATACACTTCAGCAGAACCGTTCTTTTCGTGTAACAATAATTTTTCTAAATCTTATACTTCGTTTTTATGCCTTTATGTTACCACGAATATTCTCACACCTGAACGCATCGTAAGACACGATCAACAGTTTCGGAGCATCCGGCACGGGACCCGCCCGAGCGTTCAGCAGGAAGAGAAACAGCGAAACAAATGGGACCGTGGAGCTGGAGATCATGGTGACGCAATCGCGGCGGTTCGCGAGAACATAGGAAGGTGCGAATTATCGTCCCGCAAAACCGATCACGAGAACATCACTCATAGCTGCGGTGTATAACCTGTCGGACAGCTCCGACTGTCCGAGCTCCGAGTCCTCCGACGAGCGTGCTCCGTGCTCCGGCTTTCATGAAAGCGTGAAAGTCGTGAAAGTGCGTGAAAGACTGATCGATCGCATCATTCGCAATATTCGCATCGCCGCCACCGGCGCCACCGCGGACCGCCGCGGGCGCCGCGCAGCGAGCGATCGCAGATAGTCCCCATGTGGGTGGGAGAGTATATTTCTATATAATCACAGAATCACAGTATAACTATAAAGAGACCCTATAATAATAGACTGGCCATAAGGCCAATTTTGTCAAAATCGTGCGAGAGAGAAGGCTATATATTCATATCGCTTTCTCTTTCTCTCTTATATCTCTTTCTCTTTCTGTTCCCTTGCTTTTGACAAAACTGGCGGACCAATCAAAACTGGCTGTCTTGAGGTGAAATTTCATGGGCAGTGAAAAGCAGCAGCAGATCGTACTGATTGGCTATAAAATAGAG